CTTAATAAAAATAAATAAATAATTAATAATAATTAATTAAATTATAATTAATTATATATCAAACTACGACGAAACGGACACGTAAATCAATATAAAATGCACGTAAATATGACGCATGTCAAATCCCCCAAACTTAACCATTGTTCGTCCTCGAACAACAAATAAGCAAAAACAAACCTCGTGCATGAAAAGTGATTTCAAACAAGAAAAGCCTCAAGTCACTTACGTAATCTAGATAAATTCAAGTAATCGCAAATACATATGCCTCAACTCGTAACTTGATAAAACTTTTGAATTAATGAACTCTCAAATAAGATCAAATATATATGTGCCTCACTCAAATATCTTGTGAAATATCATCAAAGAAATAAAAGGGTACGCTCAAGTTAGTTCGAAACACAAAGTCAACCATAAGCTTGCAAATCGTCTACACTTTACTAAATACAATTAATGTACGTGAGCTATGAATCAAAAGGACTTTTGGGTTGTAATGTAGGTTCTTTGGACAAGGTAGGAAAATATAGGCCAAGTGACTAAAAAAAAATCGAACAAGATATCGATGAAAAATCACCATCCCCTATCTCCAATTATCTCCCCAAAAAAAAACATACATACACACCTCTATAAAGCACAATACCATATATGCAAATCTCGGCAATTGATCAATTTTTTCAACTTTTTTTTTTCTTTTTTTCTTTTTTTATTTGAGACATTTTTTTTTTTTCAAACAAGAATAAATTGTAGGGACAACATTTTCTAGGTGTAGCCATTAGAGATCATCCAAGTGTCCTAGAATAGTTTCCCATTACTCATTACTCATGACTCGATAAATCAAATCAACGAGTAAGAGGAGTAGAATCCCTACAATTCACCTTGCGAGCTCTCTTTATTCCCTTTTTCAATTTTTTTTCCTTTTTTTCAATCAAATGTCTCAAATCACAAAAATAAATCACAACCAATCTCATACTCAATGTTCCCAAAACAAAAAAAAAAAAAAAAAAAAAAAAAAAAAAAAAAAAATCACCATAGCTCATCCTCACATCAAACTTCATTCAACTCCCAACATCTCCACATAATAAAAATCAATCACATCAAGGGCTATCAAGAAAAGGCTCAAGGCTCAAACGGGCTACTAGGGATAAAATTTTAGGAAAAATAAAAGAGGATAAAACGGGCTAGATAACAAGAATCGCCTAAATCATTTTCAAAACTCCACGTACATAATTATATTTTTCAAGTAAGCACCAACGCAAGTTCTAGTATTCCAAGTATTCGACTAATCACACAAGAAATAAAATAAAGGCTCAAATCCTCTCCAAGGCAAATAAATCAATAATCCAAAGCATATAAGTTATTCATCAAGGCATATAATTCATGATCACCTTCACAATATCTTAATTTAGATAAGCAACTCTAAACAATTCTTGTCTATCCACCAATCATCCGAAACACACACAAGACAAAGCAGAAATATTCGACTCAACCAAATTATTACTAATCTAATAAAGCAATAAACGTGCATCCTAAAAAAAATAAATATAACCTAAAAAAAAAATAAACTAATGCA